GTAGCGTTTATAAATAGGAAACAGAATATAAGAGACTTAGCTAAAGTGGAATTTTAAGTTCAAAAGGATCACACTTGTACTTAATAACTAAGTGGATTATGTTTCAATATCTTAGATTGTTTCTTATCATCATTTATAATTATTACTTAAATTATTTAATTATTCATGAAATAAAGTAAAAAAATTGTTATATAAGATATTAACATACTTACTTTTTGTCGCCCTAAAATATTTACATGGGAATTTATTTATCTTGTATTAATAAAATTGATAGTATCAACAGTATTATTTAATATTACTTCTTCATTAATAAATTCATCTATAAATTTATGATTATCTTCTTCATTGATCTATATCCGATAATTAATTATCTTAAGATTGATAATTTTAGATGTCTTAATTTAATCATATTATTTTGAATAATTTTCAATGCAATCCTAAACTGATTCATCAATAATATTATTAAGACTTATTGGTTACTTGCTTAATTTGATTATTTAGCAATTGATTTACTATATTAACATGGTCCCATTTTAATTATTTTAAATTTAAAATATATTTTATTTTATAGTTTGTCAACAAAAAGGATAGCCTTTAATAGATATACCATAAGCCAAACATTTATTGCTGTTTAATCCTAATAATAACTTTTAACCCTATTAATAATATCTTCAGTTAAATCTGAATTTAAAGCTGATAAACATGTAAATTGTATTTCTGCGTAAACTTTATATTCAGTTTCACTAAAAGCAGCTAAAGAAGAGAATAACAGAATTCTTACTTAAACAAATATAATGTTTACAAGAACTTAAACATTTAGATATTTATATACAAATATTTGATTTTTTCTTATATCTTTTTTAAATTAATTTGGCATCTTCACATTTTGTCTATCACATAATAAGTATTATTACTCCATATACAAACATCATCAATTCTATAGCTATTTTCATCATTTGCTAAACAATTTTTTAAAGTAGTACACTATTTAAAATCTCTAATATCAGTGCAGCGTATAATTTTAATCTACATTTACTATTAACTTTATCATTAATACACATACCATACATAAATCACTTAAATGATCTCCATCACATTTTATTCTATCAATACTTTCACTAATATCCTTATAAATTTAACATTAACTAATTAACAGTCTCCATGAGTTTTTTTATTATTTAATAGAATATTATTATTTAATTTAAATTTTACTAATTATTATATTAGTAAATTTTATTCTCTACATTTTAATGTACTTGTATCTCATATTTAGCAATATTTGTTATCTGTTGTATTTTAATAATTATCTTATATTGGATAAGAGGAAAAAAATGCATTTGATAAATCAATACATGTTTTTTTTATCGTACTATTTTTTTTTCTAGAAAAGATTAAAAATTAATAAGTTTTTCACATAAAATATTATTTTTAACTAAAAATTATCAAATAATAACTAAAATGACTCATTTATTTGAAATGTAAATATTATACCTAGGAAAATATTTTTATAAACATTAGAAAAATGCTAAAATTCATATTATGAATTCGATCAGTTAATTAAATTGAAAAATTATTACAAAAAACACGAGTTGTTTCAGGTAAATTAATTTAATCTAAAAAAAGGAAATATTAACTTTCAAACAAGGTGCATCTTATGCAACTTAATGAAAATTTATATCCCTAACTTTGTAGTATAACATTTATCTAAATATTTATTACATGCATAATTAGTAGCCAAAGATGATGGGGTATTTGCTGAATCAAGTATATTAAACACATTTAGTATCTTACAAAATTTGATCCTAATTTATTACATAAATATAAAAATATAATGTTGTTTTCCATTTAGGATTTGTCTCATCACTTTCATTATAAAAACAATATTAATCAGTATTATCCATATAACATGATATTTTAGTAACATATGTATCACAAGTATATAAGGAAACACATCTTTCACCATCTAATAAGACATATCCAATTACAGAACAACTAAACAATAGTGTCTTTAATTTACAATAAGCTTCTTATTCTCTATCTTTACATTAACAATTTTCGTATTTGCATTATATTCTTTTGCAATCCTTTTCATTCCAAATTAGATAACAGGTGCAAGCTTTATTTAATACGATGTCACAGTTAATCAATATTTACTAAGGATAGTAATAATATTTTTTTAACATAAATTATTTTTTAAAACAAATAATTAATGATATATTCAATCCATATATTGCTATTTTATTCTTCTAATTATTAACTATACATTAAGTTATTCTTTTATTAACAATTTTTTCAATCTTTCATTTCTTTTTCTATCTAATTTCTTGCTTAATTAAGTACTTTCAATACTTCTTAATATATACTTCATTCTATATTTCATAATTCTATGCATCAAAATTTCAGACACAAAACACTGTGTAATTTCAACAGTTATTTTCATTTATATTCAAATAGCTCATATATAATTTTTTCTTTAAAGTACTATTTCCGAAAATTACGAACTAATGTTAGCCTTGAAATAAAAAAATAATTATTACTTTCTATATCCTCTTATTTCTAAATTACAAGTTATCTTTTATATGTATTTCAAGAACCTACAAAATAATAATAAACATGTATAAGCAGATTTTTGTCATCCATTGATAGTTCATATTCCATAACAGCCACTTCTCTTATATCATTAAGAATATCCTATTCACAGATTTTAGTCATATAAACTAATTTGTCTATTTAAATCATATTTTCTAAAATAATATGACTTTTTAATGTTTTTTTTAAATTATTAATATTATTGATTATCAGAAAAAATGATTTAAAAAAAAGAGTTTAGGCTATGCTTAATTGTGTAAGACAAGTGGTTTTTATGGAATATGAACTATCAGTAGAAGTAACAAATTTATGAAATGTATACAAATTGAATTACAATTAATTATATTAAAAATACAAAATGTTTTAAAAACTACCTTAGTTTTATAGTCTTAATTATTTATAATTTCTTACATAAACATGAAATTTGAGTTTATTTTGTCTATTTAAATTTGAAATTACTGAACTTGGATTCGGCGAGTAGTTTACTAAGTGAATATAACCTTTATTATATAGTTTAAATATTATAACTGGTTAATTATAAATAATTAATTTTGGATTTAATATCCATTATGAATATTTGATCAAGAAAGCATGAAAAAAATTTTCGATGAATTATTTTTCGCAAAAATAAAATATTAATTTTTTTAGGTTATATTTTTTTTATTAGAATTACTTCAGGATATAAATATTTGAATTTTTTAAACTTTATTATTACATAAACAAAAGTAAAAATAATATCAAATTATAAAAAAAAAGAATGAAATAAATTCTTATTGTGAAGATTTGATTAATGTTATAAATTATAATTTAATATAAAAAGGAAGATAAGATTATGATTTATAAAATGAAAAATAATGCTATTTAGAATTTATAACGGGTGATAAAAAATAATTTAACAAATTTAGGATATTCTAAAAAAATTATCTCATAAACTGATCCAAAATGTTCTGACTAGCACTAAGTTTATCAGTAAATTCATATGAAATTTTGGATGATAAAGTTGATGCTTTCAAAAATGCTCAAAAAGTAATGTTTTTATGTGTTAGAGGCATTTGATGAGGTATTTTCAGAATTAGATTAATTATCATAAGATAATTATAGTGATATGAATATAATTATTACGTGATGTTCTCAGAAAGAGTGAGATTGATATAAATTTTAAACATCTTTATTTAATCTTTAATCTTTAATGTTTGGATAGTGTTTTAATTATATTATAACTAAAAAAAATATTAGAAAGGATTAGCTAATTAGAAATTTTCAGTTCTAAAATACATGATTTATCTCTCTTCATCTTTAATCGGGTAAATATAATATTTTCATTTGCTTTGTTTAATGAATATTATATTTATTGACAAATTAATTGAATGACAAGATCATATATTCATTTTTTTAATTTCATGTTGTTTAAAAATATATTATAACCCCAAAAAACTGCTTCCTAAAACAAATGATATGAAATAAAAATTTATACAAAATTATATTGAGATGAAAAAGAAAAAGAGACATTTTTCTTTGAAATTAGAATAAAAAAATTTAATCTAATTTACATTTAATAGTTTTCTTCAGTGAGATAGTGTTTTATTTTGAAACAGAATTAAAATTATATCTCAGTCAAATAAAGGATGAAGAAATAGTATTGTAATAAATGTCTATGTATAAGAGCAGCATTATAATATTTAATCATATATGTTAATAACAAATGATATATTGAGATCTAAAATAGTTATGTGTTAATGCTTCATGAAATAATGTGTGTTAATTGTGGTAAATAATTGGTATTTACTGTTATTAATAATTATAATTTTATTGATTATAGCTTCAATTTTGTTATGTCCATCAATATGTTTTAATTATATGATAACATATTATATATATCTGAAAATAAAAATATTGCAATGAAAATTTAAAGTTAATCACAGTATCAAAAAAAACTATATTTTTATTAATAAATGGCAGAAAGGAGAAATTCTAAATAAATAGATTGATTAAAAAAATATTTTATCGTTTAATTACAAAAGTTGTGTAAAGAATTTGTGTTATTGTAATCATGAAGAAATGGTTATGTTTAAATTTGAGAGTATCTTAATTAAAAGAATTAACAAAGAAGCTTCAAGCATAAATATCGTAATCTAATAATAATCATCTTTATATTAAATTTAATATATTTAGCTGTTTATTTAAGATGGAAAATGTTTTGAAGCATTAAATGTGACTTATAAAATGCTTGGTAAATTTGAACAATTTAAAAAAAAAGTATAATAAAAGAATAAATATCACTTTAACATAAATAAAATTTTAGCTCAAAATAATTAAAGTTTGCTTCTATATTAAATAGAGATATTGAATGATTTGATAAATTCATTTATTAGTTAAAAATTAAATGAAATATAAGCTGAAATTAGTGTAATAGTGAGAAAAATTAATTAAAAAAATATATATTTATGATTCAGTAAAGTTATCAATTCAATAATAAATTGATATAGATGAAAAAGAGATAATTAAAATTCCATTTGATACTTGTTCATAACAAAAAATAAAGTAATTTAATAAATTAACAATTTCAAGGGAAAAAATTTAGTCATTTCAGATAAATGCAGATTAAATAAAATAAAACTATTATTCAAACTTCTATATTTTGAGATTATCTAGTAAATTTTTTCTAATAAATGGTGTGATAAGAATATTACATTTAGAAGTGGAATTTTAGCATTATTAGATTATTAATATGGTTTTAAATAATCATTCACAATTAAAATTTCAGAGACAGATGGATAATATTTTATTATTCATATCAATATTATATTCCACTCTATATAATATTCACATTTAATATAATCTTAGGAATAGTATTATCATATACTTAAAAAATAAAGAAAATTAGAGAATAGATCATTAAGTTTGAAATTGGAAGATTGTAATAATTGTAAAATTTAATTAATAGTTATAGCTCTATATATTTATTATAGAAAATAATTATTATATATTTTGATGATAATTTAAAAAATAAGAACGAGTTTCTTTAATTTAATTGATAAAAAAAGGGAATAGAAAATTAGGTTTAAAAAAAATAGATCATTTAGATACATAATTTTATGCAGTTTTTTAATTAATTTAATTATTTTCTAATTGATTTAATGACAATTCATGTTTATCTAATTCAAAAAATACAGGACTATTATGAATAATTTCTAATACAGGAATGGATGTTCTTATCACCTATTCATAAAAGTAAGTATTATAGGGAATAACTAATATTCCATTTTTTTCTGCTTAAGATATAGAGGATTAAAATGTTCAAATTAATACTAGTTTAAAATCAATTGGTGGAGATTTATTTTTATTAAACAACAATCATTATTTATTAGATGATTCTTCCTTAAAATTATTTGATAAAGTTAGCTCTTTATCTTTATGCAATTATTTGGAAGATGTAAATTAATATTATATTTGTAAGATATAAGTAAATATACCTGCAACTCTATATTTAAAAATAACAATAATAATAATAATTTTGGATTAATACTCATTTGAACTTTT